TTTTTGCAAGAACTTTGCCGCATAGCCGGGCACATTTTCCGTCAGCTACCCCATCATGCTGGAACCACACGCCAGGACATTGTTGCGTTTACACATCAAGTCATCGAAACAGCACGCGGGGTACCCGATCAACAGGTATGGGCGTTCTACGACGAGGTCAACACCTGCGAGTACCTCGGTCTCTTGACTGACATTCTCGTGCGCCGCAAGTTGTACACGGATCCGCTGCCTGAGAATTTGATCGTCATGGGGGCATGTAACCCGTATGAGCGTCGCGCACCACCAGTGCGTCGTGCAGGGCTGGCCGTGGAGAGCAAGCGACAGGGTCGAGTCGTTCAGACCTTTGACGAGCGTTCGCAGTTGCGTTACCGCGTGCACCCGCTCCCCGAAGCCATGCTGACCTATGTCTGGGATTTTGGTGCCTTGGCTGAGGCAGATGAGGCCAATTACATCGAACGGATGCTTATGCAACACGTGCAACTGCGCGACCCCGGCCAACTTGCCGCCTTGGCCCATGGCCTGTCTCGCCTTCATACATTTTTGCGCCAGGATGGCCGCAGCGAAGAATTTGTCGTCAGCTTGCGAGATGTTCGTCGGTTTTTGGTGTTTTACAAGTTTTTCCAAGACTATATCGCACGCCGCGATAGCCTGGACCCTCCCTCTTCTCACGCTGATAGTCGCTGGAATCCGTTTTCACAAAATTTTGGTGCATCAAATCGCCTGCACGCATTGCATGGTCAGAGAGAGGCCCACAGCGTGGTGCTGTCTATTCAGCTTGCGTACATTGTGCGCATGCCCGTCACTGAAGAACGTCGGATGGCCCGCGAAACGTTACTTCGCTGCGTTCAAGGATCTCTGCTCCCCAGCAACTTTGGCATCAAGTCCTGGCGTCAAGTTGTCAATGCCGAGGAACGCAACCTTTATGGCCGCATGGATACATCAGCGTATCCCAACTTGGCCATGAATCGGGCACTGCTCCAGAACGTGTTCTCGCTAACAGTGTGCGTCCTCACTCGCACGCCGATCATCCTGATTGGGGCGCCGGGCAACTCGAAAACCGTGGCAACCACCATTGTGAACTGTAGTCTTCGTAACCTCGACTCACGAGATCCTCTGCTTCAAACCTATGCGGGCGTCCAGCTTTTTCCCTACCAAGGATCGGAG